ACCTCTAGGTACCGTACCGACTTGGAAGATTTGGCTAGTCGAAGAGAGGCAGGAATTTGGATTACATTCAGGTACCTCCCCAGAAGGTGAAATCTATTCCAGATTGCTTTCTCCAACTATATACTGAATTAAAATAGTGTGTACTAAGCATCAGGAAAAAGAAAGTTCAGTGCAAGGAAACCCCTTCTAAAACTAGCACAGGTCTCTGGTGGTTAGGAAGCAGGGATGCCTGGAAAAGAATACACTATCCTCAGTTTAAAAAAAAAAAAATCAAGAGCGCAGGTAAGTTTGTTTCACCTACACGAGGTCGGGGTCCCGTTGTTATTCCCGTGTCTTACCTTCCGAAAGGGTATTTTTTTTCCCCTTACACCACCGCTACAGCGTCTCTCAAACTCGTCTAGAAAGAGGGAGCAGGAGCTTCTCAAGGCTACGTAAACTCCCCCGCACAAAAAGCCACTACTGTCCCTGCTCGCCAAGCACTCTCCCCCGCCCTCCCTGCCTTCGACGTCAATTTGAAAATTGAAAGAAATCGCTTATTTGGGGAGAAAAAAGCAATACCCGAATGCATTCACCACCAAATGCCTCTGAGAAAATACTGTGGGTGGTGATTACGATAGGACAATGCCTCCTGTCTCTTTTGTTTTCTGCCTATAGAGGTGTGAGTTTGTCTGTTGGGCTTTTTTTTTTCTTCCGTGACAAAGTAGGACACAATCAGCAACAATCTTTAAAAAGAAGGAAGAAAAAAAACCAACTTATCTTCGCCGGCACGTGATATTTCCTCACGTTCACCACAGCTTTCATTAACCGGGGTGAAATGACCGCAAACAGTGCGACGCGCAGTGAAATTAAATGTACACAAACTCCGGAGCCGCTCACCCCCTGTTTACCCCCTCAGCAAATACTGCACAAAGTGTGCCATCACTGAGGACAATTTTAAACCCCTGTTATTCACAACAATTTTGCAGGGAAGCTCCTCTCGGCTGTCAGAAGGCCTCCAAGCTACAGTGGCGGTGTGAAACAGACCTTAAAATCCCAGCCCGGCACGGGGGGGAGGTTAGCAGGCTGTTTCCAAAGCCCCTCTGCCAAAGCCATCGCCGTGTTTAACAAGGTGCCCCGTGAGCCCCGCAGTTCTGCTCCTCTGGCAAAGCGCCGCGCAGGAAAGCTCCCCCCGCGGAACAGCCTTCACCGCGGGGTGCAGAACCACCCCTCCTCTTGCCCTGGCGCTGCTTAAGTTCTGCACAGAGTTCAGCACTCTGCTACCCGGCTCCGGTGCGTATCCTAATTAAAGCCACCGGTGAATAAACACTTTGCTGGGGGAAGACGACAAGCCGGGCGGGGGATGAAGGGGGGGAGGGATCCTTACCCTAGCAGCATGCCACGCAAAATTCCGACTGATTTAATTCCGTACCCGCTGCTCCGGTGTAGGAGCACCTAAGAAATGAGCCGAAGTCTCTTCGAGCCGGGGTGATCCCGGCAAGAGAGGTGCACAAAAGTACCCACTCCGTGCTTGTGCGGTGCGGCGCGGTCTCCCCAGGGCGGGCGGGAGTCGAGCCTGTGACCGTGGCGGGGGTGAAATCCCGCCGTGAGCCAGCCCTTCGCCACCCGGGGCTGCACGGGGCCCGGGAGCGCCGGGACGGGACGGGACGGGACGGGACGGGACGGGACGGGACGGGACGGGACGGGACGGGACGGGACGGGGCGAGCGCCCTTCGCCGCCGGGAGCTGCCGGGCACAGCCCGCCGGGCCCCGCCGCACGGAGCGGCTCCGCAGCTGCCGGCACGAACGCGATCTGCCTCCTCCTTCCAGGGCCTGCTTGACCTGTCCCTCTGAGAAATAATACTCAGGATCCTTGCCGCCCTTCCTAACAGCCCGCGCGTTCTGTAGCCACTTCTACAGCTTGCTGCTTCCACACAGGGGGAGAAAAAATAAGGAAGAAATGAAAAGAAACAGCCTGGCCTTTTATTGTCCTGTGGTGTCGGACTGGAAGTTCACAGGCAGCTAGGCAGGAGGTACAACGAGAAGGTTGTAAAATCCCAGCATCCTTATAAACAGAACTCAATTCTAAGAGAGTCTGCAAGCTCCAGATGTTATTTTGGTTTTTTTCTTTATTCTTTACGTTCTTCCTCACGGACGATTTTGAGCTCAGCACTGTTAGTTAAGGAAACATCATCCATTAGAATCAGACTAAGATGCTTTTGAAAGAACAGCAGTGATGTGGAGTGTCGTGGTAAATGAGACCTAGTGTAGGTGTTTGAATAATTTCTGCAGCTTTCTAAAAGTAGAGAAAGAAAACAACTGCATGACTTTAAAGGTTAACTCCTAATTCTGACAAATAAGTACTAAGTTACCCATTTAGGCCAAAGGAAATGCACTACCATTGCAAATCAAATATAACATTTTCAATACACTGCACAGCTCTAAACAAGGAGAAAATGCACCTTGAAATGCACAACTAATGTTCTTTTCAATAAACATAATAAGGTGAACCATCTCCACCCCAGCAAAATTCCTACTCATTCAGATCGGCCACGATCTCTATAAATTTCAGGCAATAAGGCTGAATAGCATATGGCCCTACTAAAAGGGGAAGAAAAGCAGAAGCATTATTTGGTTTGTTTTTTTTTCCTTAATATTTCTTGCAAAGAGGTTTAACGGTGGAGGGGGAAAAATTAATTAAAAAACAAAAGAAAAAGAGCAGCGGTTTAGCAGTTTGCTGAGTGAAGAGAAATTACAAGGCAGTGTCCGTAAATGAGTGACTTCAAGGCAGCCCAGCCTCACTGCAGCTGTTCACTCTCCATGAACACCTCCTAATTCAGGCGAAGGGGAAACAGGCTATTGTCCCTCTCACCTATATTATTAACCCCTCTCAAAAAGGTTTTCTTTAACAAACTCGATAGGAAGCTGTTTGTGCTGCCATTTCATTTACCCTTCCTAACAGTTTGAGCATTGAAAATTTAATTCCTAATTGAAACTGCTTTTGTCCACGCGGAGCGACGTGCACATATGGATAGGCACAACAAAGTGCTGCACCTTGCTGCTTTGTGGCGCCGCATTAAAGCTTTAATCAAAACTTCATGCTTCGGTGCTAATAAACAGTTTGTTACCATGTGATGGCCTAATACAAACTTTCAGAGTCACTCCTGAAATACAGAGAATAGGGGGACATTGGCATAAACGTGGAAGAATCGAGTTAGAAAGAAGAATCGTGCTAGGGAAATCCTTTGGATCCTCCCCGAGCGTTTTGGCAGAAGACACAGACCAGCTGAAGGGCGCATTCCCTCCCCCTAGCTCGCCTTTTATTCCCGATTTTTTTTTCTGTGTCATATTTCGCATTGTTTCGAGGGAAACTTGAAAATCGTCTCCTTCACTCTGCAATGCCAAGTCCTCAGGAAAAAAAAAGTATTCAGGTAATGAAGTCTGTAACTAAACGGTAATTGAATCAGCATAATTTGCACACTGAATGGTTTTCAAATGCTCCCAGTTTACAATTAAAGGAGAATTAATGCGCTTGTTGTTCAGACTGCAGCGCATTAGAATAAATCCAGCACTGTTGTTGTAATGAGTCGAGAGCAGTTTAACTGCCAGCAAACACATTTAAAATTTAACACGACGTATCGATCTCGCTCCGGCTTTTTGATGGATTATTTGCCACGCGCTTTTCTCCCCATTTCCCCCCTCCACCCCCACCCCAGCTATAAAATTCGCAGGGAGGAGAGACGCCCGCGGCAGACGTGGCACCGCCCGGCGAGGGCAGGACCCCCGATGAGGGAGCCACGTCGGGCGGGCACGGAAGGGCCGGGAGGTGCCGGACCGGGCCGGGATTGGGCCGGGATTGGGCCGGGATTGGGCCGGGCCGGGCCGGGCGCGGCGGGCGCTGCGCGGGCGCGGTTGGAGCGCGCGCGGCCCCGCCTGCCCCCCCCCCCCCCCCCCCCCGCCCCGCCCGCGCCCCATTGGCTGCCCCGCGCGGGGCCGCGCGCGCTGCCCCGCAGCGCCCCCGGGCGGCGCCACCGCCACAGCGCAGGGAGCGGCGGCGCGGGCAGCGCCCGCAGCCCGGGAACCGGAGCCGGAGCCGCAGCCGCAGCCGGAGCCGGAGCCCGAGCTCGAGCCCGAGAGCCGGAGCCGGAGCCCGGGAGCCGGAGCCGGAGCCCGAGAGCCGGAGCCGGAGCCCGAGAGCCGGAGCCGGAGCCCGAGAGCCGGAACCGGGCCGTCGCCGTCACCACCCCCCGCACGGGCGCCGGTGTGCTTCTCTCGGCAGCGCTCCTGGAAAAAGGTCTTTTCCCTCCCCCGTAGCCATGGGGATGAGCTGCCGCCAAGCGTTTGCCTGCTTAACGCATCACAAGCGAGAGAGGATGCGGACTGCAAAAGGGCAGTCTGCCTGGGTTTTGTTCCTTGCAATCGTAGCGGGAATAAAGTGTATGTGTGTGTGTGAAAGGAGATAACGCCGATGTTTACTCGTGTTCCCGCGGTAATCTTAAAGGAGATTTGCTACGAAAGTCAATGACACTTGTCGCGGAAAATACTATCTGTGCTGGCCGCCGAGTGCCCGCCCGCCTGTGCCGCACCGCCCGTAGTGGCACACCGCGGGGTTCCCTTCCGGAGGGGCTCCCACCCTCAGGAGGGAGCGGAGGGCACGAAGTTGCCTCCATCCCACAGCCTGGCCGGGCGCCCCCGCGGCGGTGCTCTGGTGCCCGCGCAGACACCCAGGGAGCGGTCCGGGAGGCAGCACCGGGGGACGCGGCCCAGGAGACCCCGACCCTGCTCTGGCCCGGCGGAGCGCCCCTTCCCCGCGGAGGAGTTACAGGTCTGCGCCCCCACTCCTCGCACCCCGCCGAGATTTCCCGGCCGGGACCCGCACCGCCCCGGCCCCGGGAGGACGGGGCAGGGCTGGCTGCGGCGTGCAAGTAGTTGCCGTGAGTTTGCTCGTTCTCCGCCAGGCTGGCGCCCTCCTCCCCGACGAGCTTTCCCATGCCCGGCCCGTGACAGGGGCCGGGGACACTCACCAGGTAGAGAGTGGGCTGCAGCAGAAGGACCGCGTACCAGTACACAGCCTGCATCCTCGCCGCTCAAACTTCCCCCGCGCTGCTTTCGCTGCCTCTTTGTTCCTTCCAGAACATAGATCCACCTGACATCCACTTTACAGAACAAGCAGAGCTCTCACCAGCCTAGACAAAAACGAAATTATAGATCCCATGACCACAAGACAAGGTTAGGCTCAGCACAAGGGGGGAAGAGAGGTGTATAGGGAAAGGGGTGGCGCGGGGGGGCGGCGGCGGGAGAGAAGGAGGAGATGGGGTGTGTGAATGGGGGTGGGCGAAACAAAAAACGATTAAAATCGAGTTAATCCATCGTCAGAGCAAAGTGATCGCACGGTCCGAGGTGGCGGCAGACCGCCTACAGGTAGCGCTCCCCGGCGCTCAGTCCTTTCACTGGGCGGGAGAGCCCCGTGGTGTAGGCTGGGACGGCCCGGGGGTGCCACTGCCAGCCCTGCCTGTCTGTGTGCCCCCGGCGGGGACCGGGCGGCAGCCGCCCGCCGGTTGGCTGCGGAGCCCCGGCAGCGAGCTAGGGAACGGAGCGGGGAGAAGGCGACAGCGGACGCTGGGGTCGTGGCTCCGGATGCTTGCGGGCGCTTAAAGCCGAGGCAGAGAGCTTCGCCTTCGGGACGCCCGAGCAGGATCTGCTTACCCCTGCAAGCGCCCACCTCCCTCTGCCGCTCCTAAAGGCGCGCCGTGCCCTGCCCCGGGCCGGGACCGCGCCCCGGGGCGCCCCGACGGGCGAGGACCCCCATCCCCGGCCCCAGCCCTTCTCCGCCCCCGCGGCCCGCGGACAGCCCCGCCGCCGCGGGGGGGCCGCGCTGGGGATACGTACGGCGTGGGGGATCCGACGGCGGACGGGGCTCCGCGGGACGCTCCATGGGCGAGCCTAGAGGGGCCGAGTGCCGCGGCGCAGCCCACCACCCCTGCGCATCTCCTGGCCGCGCTCCGCGCCGAGGTGTCCCGCGGCCGCTGTGCATCCAGCGCAGGCACTGTCAGGGCGGCGGGGCGGCTGGCAGGCTCTCCCCCCCTTGCCTCCCCTTCTCCGCACACGGCCGCGCTCTGGATCCGCCGAGCAGGACACTTACGGGAGGAGGGAGCTGCCCGGGCTGCCCGCTCGCCTTCGGCGGGGGGCGCGGGCAGGAGCGGCGGCACCGGCGCTCCGGGGCGTCCAGAGCGATTTGTCTCTATTAAAAATGACTTATTGGCGAGTGAGCGGCGAGCGCCTGCTATTTAACTTCAGATAAAATCTATCTGCAAAGACCTTGGCCGATCATCTTAAAATAAAGCGCTGGAGCCGAGCACTGTCCGAGGCTCACTGCTTGGGGAAAGAGAAAGAGCAGCGGAGGGGGGAGGAGGGGGGGGCTTGCTTGGCGAGGGGGGAAGGGAGGAGGGAGGAAGGGGAGTTTAGCGGCGTCCCATCCTCTCCGCTGAACGGGGTGATGAATTAGAGCCCTCCCCGGGCGGCGCGATCTGCCTTGCGCTGCCCGCCCTGCCCACCCTGCCCGCGCTGCTGCCCGCCGTGTGTCCTGCCCCGTTCCTGCTGCCTGCCCTGTCCCTGCTGCCCGCCGTGTGTCCTGCCCTGTCCCTGCTGCCTGCCCTGTCCCTGCTGCCTGCCGTGTGTGCTGCCCTGTCCCTGCTGCCTGCCCTGTCCCTGCTGCCCGCCGTGTGTCCTGCCCTGTCCCTGCTGCCTGCCCTAGCCGCCCTGCTGCCTGCCTCTGCCCGGGAGCGGCGCTGCCCTCCCTGCCCTCCCTGCTGCCCGCGCTGCTGCCTGGGCACAGCCCTTTCCCTCTCTGCCTGCCCGCGGGAGCCGGCTGTCCGCCTTAAAGGAGCATGGCAGAACATCTTCTTCCTCTTTCTTCCCTCTCATTTTAGTTTTTCCGCCTCCCTCTGCGGTGTCCCGTGCACCGACAGTGCTGCTCCGCCTGGGAAGTCAGCGGGCGCCCGCCAGCTGACGGAGGTGGCAGGATCGCGGAGCCCAGATGGGTGACGGCTGCGGGAGCCAGGCTCCAGGATGGAAGGGTGGCTTCTCCCGCGCTAGCATGAACCTGTAGCTGGACAGCCCCTCGGAGTGAGGCTGGAAAGCTCATCCCTGTCGGGTGCTGTGGCTTATCCTGCCAGCTGTCATACAAATGGAAAGGTCTCACCGACCTGTTTTTGCTTCTACTTTGCAAAGAATCCTATGGATGTTTTTCATACACCCTTCCATCCTCCTAAACGGTATCATTACTAGTGTGACATTGGGACAGGGTGAAGGGGAGGATACCAGCAGCACAGAGCAGCCTTACCAGATGCCCAAGCTCAATAGCAAACCTCAGATTTATCACTTCCCAAAGCCAAAGCAAGAAGCACTCCAGTACGCTGTACAGAGAGGGAAATGATAAAGAAAAGGAGGACTTCAGTAATCCTGTCAAATCCTTCTCTCAGAGCACATAGGGGTAATTAATATCTGTGGTCTGGGACTTCAGTATCAAGCTGTAAAATACTTAATATTTTAATATGTTTTCATTTTGGGGTCTGAGTTTGGAACACTATAATAAAAGGGGAGCAGGGAAAGAATGGGGAAGGTAATGAGTACTCTTTGAAAGAGCTGCACCAGAGCCCTCCCCCATAGCCATTTCTGCTCCAAACACCTGGAAGATGGACACCTCCATATGCTTCCAGCACCATCACTCTGCTAGACATGCAGAATGCTCATGTCACAGCTTTGAACAGAAGTGTGCAGCCTGCGAGGAATCATACTGTCATCCTGCCCCTCCAGACAGCCTCTGCGTTGCAGTGCAGGCTAAAGCTGCCTAGGGACTTCTCCTTTCAAAAGGAGAACAAAAAATTGCAGCTGACTTTTCCCTTGCAACTCCCTCCTTCCTATCTCTCCCACTCTCACTTCTCCGTTAGTCCGGGGCTAGAACCACACCTAATAAACAATCTAGAGAGATGACAGATGAGAGAGGGAGAGAGAGAGAGAGAGGAGATGGCTAGATAGATATTGCTCTCTTTGCATAGAACAAACTTGCCATAGACAGTGTGGAGCATACTGCTGATCATTGCAATAACTTGCTGTTTAACACAGCACAGTTACTCTTATTTTAGATATGAAATTGCCAGGTAAGTACCGAGCAGAAAAAGCAAAGTCTGCCAGGTATCAGTAGGTCATGCTCCTGGAGAAGACATAATTTCTTCAGGAAGGGGCAATTCAATTCTATGTATAACTTGATTCAGTTTACCCAAGCTCTGATCACTGCCTTCCTATTAGAGTGACAAGGCAGTAGTCCCAGGAGAATAATCATTCCTTCAGCTGGTCAAATAGAAGAAGGTCCTCCTAGTCTTTCTCATCCAGATCCTTATACCTTGTCTAGAGGAGCATTATGGAGGCTCCACTGTGCCTCCTCATTCCTGGCTCCACTGGAATCACAAGCATGCCTCATCTTTACTTCATCCCATTGAAATGTCCTCACCCTGTGAATTCAGCAAGGTCTCCTATAAACAGCCTGATCTGTGTGGCATCTATTCCAATTGTTGGGGAGACTCTTGAGGCAAAATTCTGAAGGATGGATGGATCTGTTCACTGAAGGTTCAGACTGTTCCAAGGTCTCATTGGCTTAACTGAGGGCATCTCTCTTTGCCCTTCAGCTGACCTCCTTAGCCAGAGGCCACCGGGACAAACTTTCTAACTACAGTGGAACTGAGACTTCCTTCAGAAATGCTAGTTGGATTGCTCCTTCTCTCCACTGCCATTCCAGAAGAAAGGTGAAAGGAGTATATAGGAACCTGGATTAAGCATTTTTATTATTAAAGAAAAAAAAAATGCAAACTCCAAAGTACTCCACCTGTGAACATGTGATACTTTTTCAAAGGGAATAAAATTATAAAAGGCATATAAAAATCTGACATTTAAGATTTTTGGATACAGTCATTTGACTTTCATCTGATCCTGTAATATTGGTGCAGCAGCTTAAGTGGAATATTAGATTTTTGCAGTGAATAAGTGAATTTTAATTTCAACCATTTGGATGCAGTTTGCAATTTTAACAATAAGGTCCTCATCAAAGCAGTATCAGCTAGTGAGGTTTTAAAGAATCACAAATTCTGGGCTTAGTAACGGACTTTGCAAAAGACCAATTAGAGTTTAGAATGTAATTGGACTATTTTTAAAGCTTAGAAATGCATTCTAGCCTTTAGATATCTTCCCTGTTTCTGCAAAGATAGCATCCTGGCTTGAAGAACTGAAAGGTCGCAAGCAGAAAATCCAAAGACAATGGCAAGTGATTAATAACTGTTACAGGTTCCAATGGAAGATGGGCACATGGTTTAATTGCTTGAGGCACTGGAAGAAAATACAATGCTGTAATGATAAATATCAAATGATTGTGCTAAACTTACTGCACAATGTAGCTAACCTGTCTAAACATGGACAGTTATTTATGAAATAGTAAATAGAACTGAATCCCGTGGAATCCTATTCATAGAGACCACACATCTCTTATTTTGGAAATAAACTGCTTGGGGAAAAAAAGCAAAGCAAAGAAGGCAAAGGTGGGCCAGAGAACAATGAAATCCATGTAAAATGTGAAGAAGCAAAGGAATAAGAAGAGAAAGTCTGATGAATCAGTGTCTGGCCATATGAAGAATATTTCAGTAAGATTATTTACATGAGTGATAAGGAGTGTCCAGCCTGTAAACTGTGTAGTACATATGTAGGGCATGTGCAACTCCGCTATCTTATCTATATGCAAGCTGAATTCAGCTGGAGTTGCATATGCACCACAATGACAGATTATGGCCTCCACAGCTTTTCTATATTTGTACCATACAGTGTGTGGGCCAGATGCCTCATATCACTCATGTAAATAATCTTATTGAAATGTTCTTCATATTGCCAACCATTAACTCATCAGACCTTCTCTTCTTATCTCTTCCCCTCTTCACATTTTAAATAGATTTCTTTTGTTTAAAGGAAATCTTCATGTTTGAAGAGAGCATTTTTATGGTTGGTATAAATACTACAAACAGAGTCCCTTGTCACATTTTATTTCCATTTTTCAAGGTCAGAATATGACTGTATGTACTATTGCTATTTCTAAATATAAAAATATCTCTGTGAGACTTTTATTTTTATTACATTGATTTCTGCCTACTTACGGTCAAAGGCACACCACAAAGTGATGTTTCTCTGTGTCCCATATGGAAAAATACAGGAATACTCCAACCCCTTCAAGAGAAGTGCCTTGTATTCATGGTGTTCTTAACTATTTCTCCTGACACTACACCACGAGGATTCACACCATGCTGGAGTGAGATGTGCTGTTCAGCATCAAAGAAGACTAAAAGGTAATGTAGAAACAGCTGTGTCTGGACCACTCAGTGCTTCTGTGATAGAAACATGAGTCAGCCTACAGGCTCCATAAGACTTACTGCAGGTGACACTCAGTGTGCACAAAAAATACTTGAGATGAGGTAAAATGTAAATTATAATCTATATGAATAAAACTTACAGCCAAATTTATCTATGGGATTCTCTCATTAGTAATGTCTTTAAATTCAAGGAGGAGGGGAAATCATGAATTTAATAAAAAAAAATCTTTCAAACTTCCATTGCATAGGGAGCTTCTTTTCTAACATAATATTTATAAATATATATATATAATTATAATTATATCATTATATCAAGAGATTTTTATTTGCATTCCACTTTTATTTTATCCATTATATCTAGATAATTTTCGACAGTGGGAATACAGGAAATAATAGCTATAAGAAGTGGAGAAAAAGAACTTAATGTAAGAAAGAAGTCTATACTAAGTCTTTATATTAGGTCCACAACTTGGGTGAGTTTCCAGAAGACATAATTAGATTTCAAAAATAATGTAGGACTAAGTGAATTGCTTAATTAAAATCCAATTAT